AGTAGCATAGATTGCAATAAATAGCAATTGCATGGTAAAAATATTGCAATTCCGCTGAGTGTTGTGTATGTTGCCTAGCTCCTAGTAGAAGGGGCCCCATTTGTTGAAACTTATTGTAGTAAAATTGAAATAAGTTGCAATTTTTCATTGCATTGCACATTGCCTACCTTTCTGACACGTGAAGCTCATTTTGTTGATTGTTTAAAATCGGCATAAATCGACTAAATGATGTAAAAATATTGCAATTTATTGGTAAAAAATTACAATTTTATTAAAACTAAATTGCAATGTAATTTCAATATGTTTGTTGCACTGTGCTACTTGAGTATATTTTACCTAAAGTGTTGGGGCTCGGCGAAGTTGTTTTATCCGTGTTTATGAACTTTTAGGCTGTTCTTCATGAAAGTCCAGAAACTTATTGAAATATCATTAAATTTCACGTGAAATTTCAAAGATAAGATCAGCGCCACGAGAATAAATTGCGCTTTATGCACCTCGGCAATTATTCAATCTGCAAACTATTGAAAACACCGAAGAACCAACTGTAGCGTTGAGACCTACACTGTAGTGCTGAGCCAACTACACGCAACTTGTGCTGAGCCCCGGACGGTTTTAAGGTAGGTCACTCAGGATACTGTAGAGGGTCCAGCCCTACAGGCTGTAAGGCTTGAAGTACTTGTATACGGGAGAGTATTGCCATCTCTGTGCCGCTCTCTGATTGGTTCATCAGTTTTAGGCTATCATGGAGCTCCAAAGTTCGACCAATGTAGAGTAGTAAGACAATCCCGACATAATCCGTGTCCCAAAGGGACACGTATTATCGGCTGAAAAATGAATGATAATCATATCCATACCCATCGAAGGTCGATCCAAACTCCTCAGAAGTTGGATATTGAAAAATTTACATCACATCCAAAATCACGTCTAGAACTTGGTAGAACTTTGTCGCCATGTTGTTTTCAATCCTTGCAGGTTCCGTTTCAGCTTAGAATAAAGAAATCGAACAGCCGTAGATGCCAATTCTGAAGTGAAGGGATAGACACGACGATACCATTCCTACGAAGATAATCCCAAGTGATCTGACGTTAATGTGGAGCTAAGCGAACGTCTCACGGGATAGACACCATTGAATTCAAAAGGCAAGGCGTGAATGATCGATTATCGACATTTCTCCATTTGAAGCCATGGTGAAGTATCGATTATTAAGGTGTTTGTTGCACATACCCTGTTCATCGATCCTTTACCATGGGTTTAAATGGCAGATCAATCGATATATCGCATAGCACGCCACGCCACTGGGCGAGATGAATTCAATCCGCGGACGGGTATCAGGATGGAAAGGAGTGGGATTAAATTTCTCCAGACCAGAACTTGCTTGCAACATCCCTTAACAGGATGACGTGATTTCAGAGTAAAGCTTACCTTTCATGCGAAGGCCCAGCGAACACCTAAGTACAAAATTAATGAGAGACAGCCGATTCCCTGTAAGTTCAACAAGTTTGACTCAAAGGCTTAATCTAATATGGTTCTACGAGGTATCTCGGATGGGTCAGTTGCGGTGGTCACAGAATCGTATTTTGATGCTTAATTCTGGTAGATTGGCTAAAATAATAAGATCTGTTCAAACCGCAACTTTCTGCGTTCAATATTGACCGAGACATCGCCCTTTGAAAAGTCGGGTTTTTGACGTCATCCACCGCGGTAGTTACACCCTTGGTTTCTCCCACCTTGCCAACATCCGAGTTTCACGTTGAGTGACTGGTTCAAATGTGCGTCACACTGACTGATGAAGGCAAGCTGGAAGAAACCAGCAAGGGCGTCACTCTCGCGCATTGCGCAATGCGTGAAGTATCCCCTTAATGCCCCCACTTCTGCATGGATTAAACTCATTTTAATTGATGGAAGAAAATAAGTATAAAAGGAAAATATAATGTGTGTTTTGTAATTATGAAGATGATTCCGTGTCAAATTTAATGATTTCCAAAGCACTTTGATTTTTTCTTTTATATTTTGTATTTTTACTGTGCTGCAGCGTGGTGTACGGGCAACCATCCGCTTAAACCACGATTTTCAAGGGTGAAAAAATCATCACAAAACAGAAAGGAAAAATGTCCGTGGGATAGGCTTGAGCCTTTGAGAAAATCTTGGGCAGTCCAAAAAAATCGAAAATATTGCAAAATCGCATCGATTCAGCCAATACATGGTGGTAATAATATGGATTCGATGTAATGGATTTTTTAGTGGAATCGACTAAAAGCCCGCAACTTGAAGAAGAAAAGCGAGGCATGATGAGGAAATGATAACAGGAAGGAACACTGGAAAAAAAACACATTGGATCGAGAGTCCAGACTCTTAAAAACGTCGACAAGAAAAAGTAATCTTGATTCAATCAGAATCTAGCTTAAATCAAGAACCAAGCCTCTTGATTTAAGCGGATTTCGTTTTGATTCAAGCAAAAATCCGATTGAATCAAGAGTATTTTTTCTTGTCAACGTTTTCAAGAGTCTGGACTCTAGATCCAATGTGTTTTTTTTCCAGTGAAGGTTTGAGACGGCGCGGCGCGGCACGGGGCGAGGGCCGATAGTGGCGGGAAAATGAAAAGCTCGGAGAGGCGAGACGCTACGGTGCGGGTCCGACGAAAGGCGCCCTTTTGTCTGTTTTGTTTTTAATAAAAATGTAATTGGAGGAACTGCCGTTCGCTTATACGTCTTGTCTCCGGCTCTATTATTCGGGTTGACATGAAAGGAGTGTCCTTTGAGCGGAGAGCTCTCTTTTATTCACCTCGCGTTGGGCTCGACGCCGTGCTCGGCATGCACTATGCCACCCGCTCTACATCTCCGTCTTCGTCTTTATCCGCCGCCGCCGCCGCCGCCGCCGCCGACGACGACGATGAGAAAGGTGAAAGCAACTTAACTCCACCCAAAGCCTCCCTCCTCCCGGCATCCCAAACTTGAGAGTAAAGCCCCAACCTGTCGGCCAACTTTGAACTTACTCCAGGTGTCTCGTATCTTGTTGCCGAGCTCAAATCGCCCCCGGAACCAATGTTGTCAAATGGAGATGTTGCAGGTGTGAGGAATTTGCGATTTGACGACTGATTCTTATGTAAAAGTTCGCGAGAAACACGATGACGCCACTGGTTTTCTATGAAATCAACTCCCAAGCTCATAAAAAGCTCTCAAGTTGAGGCCAAAATGGAGGGGATATCCCACGCTATCCAGAGAGACCACCTCTACATCAAGACGAACTCTCCATGCAAAGATAGGGAGCAAATACATAAGCAGGGTTGCCGTGTTTTCAGTTGTGGAGTCCCCAAATAAAGTGGCAGCCCTGTCGATGTATTTGCTCCCTATCTTTGCACAGAGAGGTTGTTTTGATGTGGAGGTGGACTCTCAGGATAGCGTGGGATATCCCCTCCATTTTGGCCTCAACTTGAGAGCTTTTTTTGAGCTTGGGAGTTGATTTCAGAGAAAACCAGTGGCACCATCGTGTTTCTCGCGAACTTTTACATGAGAATCAGTAGTCAAATCGCAAATTCCTCACACATGCAACATCTCCATTTGGACTACAATTTGCCACGAAGAACTATTCTGCCGTGCCAAGGAACAACGCTGTATAAACATTCGAGAGTTGCCAAATTTCCTTCAGGAAAATGTATATTTCGGAGGAGATTTGCCAAGGGAAATTTGGCAACGCCTGAAAGCTCATACGGCGTTCTTCCTTAACACGGCAGTAACATCTATGCCTCATTTTAAAAACAATGTACTTGTAGTCAATTTCCCGGTGCGGACAGTTGATTTTATGAATGAGCCATTAATATTACTTCCTCATTACGAAGTGTGGTCAAATTGATACGGCGGACAGGGTTGCCACAGAATTCAGAAAATTAAATTCCTCGACAATTGAAGAAATACTAGGTGGTTAAAAATACATAATTAAAAAAAGTTTTCGGGCAAAATTTGATGTTCGAAACGTCAAACCCATCCTAACAAGCAAATAAAGGTGACCTCACAATTTTACCTCGACATTTCTGTCATTTTCCCTCACATTTCCCGGTATTCCCTGACTATGGCAAATTGGCAACCCTGAAAATGTGCTTCTAATTTATTATCGACATACAGTGCAGAACGCTCAATATTTTTCTTCTGTCAACTATCAATTAAAAAAAATTAGAGGGGTGGGGTGGTATGGAATAAAACCAATCCAAATTCGAACAAGAAACGAAATTAATCATGTTATCAGAATGTATGCTGGCAAGTGCGGATCCAGCAGGTTGGCAACACTGGGTTCCCTCAAATTAAACCTGTGTTGAATAAGCGATTATTGTCGGAGAATCAGGCTCCTCCAAAAATTGATACATTTCCAAAAGTTTAAAGGAGAAAAAATAATGTTGCCAAGTTCCTGGATCCGCCGATGCATACTGATCTCATTCATAAAATTAAAATTGTTTCCATGTACTTATACTACCTAACGTTTCAGATCGCATTGTAACCCCTTTACTACGATTTTTCGGCCCTGTTCACAACCTTCAGGGGAAAAAAAAATAAAAATGACAACTCGGAGGAAAATTTGACATTTGGTATACCTACCCAAGGCTTTGGTGTGGATTTTTATCATGATAAAACCCTGTCATTATAATGTCCCCACATCATAAGTGCCTACAAATGGCCCATTAAAAGGCCAGCAATTCTCAGCGAGTTACTATTTCCAGTAACTAAACTCTGTAAGTTGAAATGATATCTTTAAAATTTGAAGAAATGCAGCACAACTACAAAAGAACTTTGTTCAAAACCAATCCCTGCAATGTCCTCCTATCGACCATGACCGGCCTCTAAGGCTCTCTCTTAGATTATGGAGTGTGTTCCAGACACCATAGACAAGTAGGAATCACAAGAAAGAACGTTAAGAGGAGGTGGAATCAAAGATTTCCTGGCGAAGAAAAGGATAGCAAAACTATGGAGGCGGATATCAGCCATGGGAAGAAAAAAGAAAAAAAAATCGACTCAAATTGACAGAGTTTATTAATTTATTTTCTTACACTTAAACTTTTAAAAACTATACATACAAAATACAATATACATATACGCATTCAATAAAAATTGATTATCACATCATAATGCAACGATGGTTTGAATTATGATGAAATTTGGATTTCATCAAAAATGTAAACGCCGACTGAAAAGATGATCATTAGTAATAGTTTTTACAGTAATTATCTAAAACTGATGCAAGACATTGGATGGCGATGACTATTCAATGAAACACGACTGTAAAGAAAAGCGACGAAGCAAATATTTGGTTCTTTATCTAAGTGACAAAGGAGAAAACAATTTTTTCACAATGAATGTTTTGCATGTGCACAGAAAATTCATTTTTGTCATTTACAGAGCATTGTTCCTAAGATTAGCTAGTGCACAGTCTTATCAGTAACTCTTAAGAGACAAAGTTTTTATCTTAAGCAATTAAAGCAAATTTTTCTGACAATTTTTAGAACGAAAGAAAAAGAAAGAATAGTAGTGCTTCATAATTACCTTAATTTTTTCCAGCCAAGTTTATCCTGAGGTCTAAATGTGATCACTAAAATTTTGTGCGAAAGAAACTTAGTGGGGAGCAAGTAAGCAATGAAATCTAAGAAAAAAAAAAAAAAAAAATCACCATAGGCACATATTTGAATGGCCAAAGTGCGAAGCCACGTATCTCCATTTTTGATGTTTCAGACTTTCTTTCATACTTCATTCCTTGATTTGGAGACAGGTCTACTTAATTTCTTGAAATATTCCTTGATTTTTATTCTTTATTGAGCAGAATATTTAAGGAAATTTCAAGCTATATAGTTGACTTGTGCCTTTTCAAAAAAGTAAAAAGGAGTAGAGATTTTGAAATACACTAACCAATGAAGGACAGAAGGCTCCGTCTAATGACTATCGATTTGCTGCTTTGATTTTTTGCCATTCTTTCTACGTTTGCGCAAAGCATTCCGATTTCATTGTTGATAATTTTTTTTCCAAAAACTTAAAAAAAAACTTTTGTTGAGGTCTTTCGATTGCTTTCAAACTTTGTATTAGCAGATTTGCCCGTCAAAGCACCCAGTCATTACAGATTCACCTGAATAACTGTTTACTGACTTTGTCTTGTGTTGTTTACAAAGAGAAGTGAGGGACCAAATCTTGTTGACCAGTTTGAGTACGGATAAAAGTTGCGGCAAGAATGTTGATTTTGTAATTCGATCGCTGATTAAGGGTTTGCACTATTCAGGAACTAAGGATCACTGCTGGAAAATGCTGCAAAAAAAGCTCTACTTGCATTCGGTTTGAGTTTAGAATATAATTTTCCCTGTTCAAAGTCGAACTTAGAGGTCAGGTTTCACGACTTGCGACAGTAAACCAACAAGATTTGGGCCAAGATCTAAAAGAATAATTCATTGTGTTACGCACTTGAAACTTTCTATGATCAAATGACTTAAACCAAACTATTTTTCTTGTTATACCTACTCTTTTAGACATAACCATAAATATAGCCACAGATGATGAAACAATAAGAGCAAATGTTATGGATGGTAAAGAAGAAAAAGGCACAGGGATGGATCTAAAATCTTCTTGAAAAATACTAAAAAGACAACAAAAAGAAGCAGATTTCTATCCCATATCATATCAGATAGAATTTAAAGGCTCGCAAAGAAGAATTACAACAACGCACAGCAACAGTAAAAATTTATGAGGCTAACTGAGAAATACCTAAGACAGAGCCCCCACTACAAAATTCAGGAGTATATAAAATTGGGTGAGAATGCAGTGCCAAATATGTGCATTAGACTGTGAGAAAAATTAAAAAAAAAATTTAAAGAACACATGAAAAGCACATAGAAGGGGCTTAATTGGACATTCATCACTTGCAGATCATCTTCCAGACACCGATTAGGACCCTGGGAAACACAGGACAGATCTAATGAGAGAATTCAGAAAAGGCATTAAACTCAACTAGTTGAAACATCTAGAGACTGAGGAATAAGAGCTCAACCGGCTCTTAGATTCGTAATTAGTTAGCAATTCAACAGCACTAGTGGCTTTGCACTCTCTCCAAACTAACTCTACAACGGAAGAGATGAGAACAGATCAGCTTAATGGAAAACAATGATAAATCTAAAATTGCAACACAACTCATTCAGATTTCATTGCTTATCCCATTTATTAATCTATGTTCTATTACTTTTAAATTTTCATTTTCTGAAAATAGAATTTAGAGGGCGTCAAAATGGCTGGTATAACAAGAAAATAGTTTAGTCCAGGTGAGTCAAGTTAAGAATATTACGAGAACATTGTTATCGACACCTATGACTAAATTCACCTGATTGAGAGCAAGTACAGCTGGTGTCACACGATCAAACCGTGCTATCAATATATCAAGGTTAGGAGTTATGATTGGCTAACTCAATGATTGGACCAATCATGACACCTGACCTTGACAAATTGATAACACGGTTTGATCATGTGACACATGCCTGAGAAACCGTTGCACATTTCCTGTAAGCATTCAATCAGAATGGAAACGATCAAAATGAAAGGCTAATCCTGGATACCCAACCGTACTACCATGTTCAATTTGCTTTAGACTACTTATCATCTATTATTCATCGGGTTTTAGTGGCACAATGTTGCTCCTTTTCTTCCAAGAAAGAGTACTTCATTTCCTAGTTTCGTTGTGAAAGCAGAGGAACTATAAGAAGAAAGATAAATATATTTGTGAACAAAGAAAGCAACTCAACAATCTAATCATTTTCTTGATTTTTCAGAGAAATAAACAGTTGCTCTAATGACTTGCTCTAAGTACCGTTTGGATATGAATAATTTTTTCTTTGAAGGAATAAGGGTGAGGAGTACCTTTGGATGCACCTTTTGCAAAGAAAAATATGCCAACGGGAGAGCGTGCCAAGTTTACTTGATGATACCACCCTTAGAAAATTAAGGCACTGGCAATAGATTTCAAAAAGAAATAAAGTCAAGCAACCAGATGAGAAAAAATCAATCAAAAATTTCAGACTTTAATGGCCTTTCAAACTTGCTTTAGCATTTTTCTAGAAAAGGAAGCTTGATTATTTTAGAAAATAATGTGCTGGCTGATAGTGAAAACCCTCTTTACATTCTAATTTAATTCACAAGTGTACTGCTTGGTTCTTTTTGGGCAGATTGCCAATCCATCATGAGTAATTTTTACGTAGTAGGGGAATTTATAAACTTAAATAAGAGTAAAAAGTTATCATGAACCTTATTTTAACTTCAAAGTGGGTTTAAAAGAAATTTAAAGCAGCATACCAGTGATACTGATGGATGGTTTTAAACAAATGACTTAATCAATGGTCTAGACTCTTCTTAGATGAATCCTTGCGATGATGAAAAACATACGTGATAAAGATTCAAACAAGGACAGAAAGTCCTTTGATTCTGAGAAAACACTTTTTTCTGACTGCTTGATAGCAGGCATTTGCTTACCACATGCAATAATCACTTAGTTTACGAGACCTTAAGCTAATTTCAACTAAACAACTTGGCTGGAGGATTACTTGCAGGAATTTGACATAGTTACGTAATTGAGCATGACTGAGAGTAAATTTGATTACAGATTATTCAAATGGAACTAAATTTACTCGAAAAGTTTGAAATAAAATAGATTTACCTACAGTAGGGAGAAAAATAAAATATTATTTCAAATAGAAATAAAGGGTTCAAAGATAAAAGGAAACTTCAAAATACTTTAACTACTTCTGAATTCAATAAACGACATAGGCTTGTTGGAGCATTGATTCTGAATTATCAAAAAGAATGGACAAAACTTAGAAAAAAATGTTCAATTTTGATGCCTGCACGCAGAGTAGGGAGCCATCAGGGCTTCGGTTGCAATTTGGTCAGGTGAACTTTGGGCATAGAAGAGCCAAACAATCAAATTTGTGTTAAAACTTTATTAGTTTTTGAACAGAAAGTAAATGGGTTCACCAAAGTAAGGATAGATGATTTTAGAGACCACTCACATTTGAAAAAAAAACCTTGAACTGAACTCATGGTTTGACCATAATGAAAAAATCTTATATTATTAAAACTTGATAGTCAAACAAAATCAGATTTGCCAAAAAGTTTGATAAAAACACTGATTACATCAGATATAAGAGAAGGATAAGAAAATCCAAGGTTGGGTCTTTGACAAAGTAACACGACTAATCTTCCTTCCATCTTCTTACTCATTAAAAGTAAGTATGCTCCTGAGAAAAGTTTGTCAGAGTAAAACCTCCATTTAAAAAGTAAAGAAATGAAAAAAATAACCATTGAATTGAACGGAAAAATGATAAAAATAAAATATTCAAAGCCTTTTTCTCACCTCTGTCACAAAACTGATATATGACAGAGCCTCTTCAAACTTAGCTTCAAGAATCTTGAACAGCATTTGCATCCACCAAAATATAGTTACACCTTCCTGCATTTCCATCTAACAAGGAATCACAGATATTTCACAAATATATTTTACTAAAGAGCATTATTAATAACTAAAATTATGTTGATAAATGTTCATCGTCCACCTAGTCTTACAACTGCGTCAAAATCGCCAGGAAAAGGTGAGCGACTTATAAACGAGTATCAGTTCATCTACACATCTAATAAGGTTTAGGAAGAACTAACCGACAGAAATGAAGCTGAGATATCGTGAAAAGCCAATGAAACAGAAAGAAAAAAAAACAGTGTTAACGCTATGTCCTTCGCCGATTAGCAGGATTGGACGCGAAACGAGCCGACGTGAAATGACTGCGTGGAGCCAAAATGAGGTGGGAAAACAGTCTAAAAATGCCTGTTCCTTTGCAACAGTCCGCGAATGTCAAGAAAACTATTACGAAAATAATCTGAAAAACAAACAAAATTACTGAAGAAAGAAATAAATGTTCATAAACAGACAAAATGAAATGAAGCATCCTCAATGAGCAAATTCCTAAATTCTTTTTAAAACTTATTTCTGAGATGTAATAAATACATCTTATAACAGGGCACAGTTAAAATGGTTGTATTCTGAATTCTTAGCTCTTGATGAGGACAAGAGGGGTCTTGAGGGATCGCACAGCTAAATTAAATCAGAACTTTGATTGCTCCTCGACAAAACCCTGACTTAACTCCCCCAAAGAAATTGAGCGGTTGTTGAATTTATCTTTTTAGGATAATACATAATGCTCAGATTAATGCAGCCGAAATAAAACAAAATATGATAACTTTCATGGATGATTACCAATTTTTCAACAGGATTCTCGATTTTCAAGTTCTTTCAACAAAATTTTAAAGATTCAGGGACTAGTGCATTGGGTAAAAATTGTCTTCCAAAAATCCTTGGACAAATTGACACACACATAGCACAATCTAAATTCACCTAAGGATGAGCCTCCATCGAGAGGTGGACACAAGTCTATAGGATTACTTAACACAGAAGATAAAAGAGGAATTATTACACACATACATTTTACTACGACAGGAAACTTCATTTCTTCGAAATGAGATGTGAAATTCCAAATTTGGACGAATTTCAAATACTTTAAAGGACATGAAAACTAAAAGGACATATCCAAGGATGATCAAGAACTTTTAAGGCCACATGAATTCTGTATGCGTGAACTTATGGAACCTAGTGAGTGCAAAGGATACTTCGCTTCAAAACTTCGAATCACTTTTCTAAACTATCTAACATTTTTTCACAAAATAACAATTCCCTGAGAAGTAGGGGAAAGCTGTTTTTGGCTGTTTCAGCTCATGAAGGACATTGGATTGAATGCCTCACATTACTACCAAATTAAGTGGCATAACAAAAAAGTAAAGGTATTGTAGGCTTTGTCTACATGCGCAAAGTTCTTGGAACTTCTGCGGAAAAAGATAAAGCTGAGTTGTAACTTATTCCGTACAGAGACAAAGGAGGTACAAAAAACAATGCGCAGCTGAAAGTTCCGCCAACCATTGCCTATGTGGACAAGGCCTATGAGAAGCCTAGGAATTCAGAATTTTTTTAGAAATAAAATTAGAAGCGAAATGGTCAAATTGGCTATTAAAAGCCTCAGTAAAATTTTTAAATTCAACAACGAGTTCTTACTTTGCCACTCACATTAATGAAAAGACCAATTCCACTAACTGATTGAAATTTAGATGGCTTGTCACTAACTGACATTAATACAAAAACTGAGAAACTCACAAGAATGAGCTGTTTCAGAGAAGATAATTCGAATTGAGAAGCATTCCGGAAAAGGGGCACATACGCGTCTGTGCCCTTTTTCTAGAAATGGCAGAAATGGATTCCTTGCATCCTAATGTACTATTGTCCTGAGTTTCAGCTTAATTAATCAATTTTTGGAGCCAAGAGACCAAGTTTTGTCCGGCTAAGTCAGGGGTCACAAGCGTATTTCATCTATTTGCCTCTACGTACGGTCGCCGCGACGTTGAGGAGATAGCGCGCAAGCAGGTAGGCAGGTGATGGGTACTGATATAAAGATCCCTCACTACAGGTGCATCCCACTGATACTGCTAATCAATGCAATATCATCGAGTTGCAGTGATTGTCTACGCGTTGCACCAGTCACACATGAATTTTCGTACTTATTAATAATTCAATTTTTCATGGTCTCTTGTGAGTTTGAATTTTTCGATTTTTTCACGTGTTCCGCTGTCTTTTTCATTACAAATGATCGAAGATGATCCACCCGCGCTTTCACGATAGAAATTATTATTTATTAATTTATCGGAATTATTTATTTATGTTTAGAAACTCTTTACTCAAAAATTCAGCTTCAAAAGCCAAAACTTATTACCACCAGTCCATTTCCGGAAAAAGGGCACATAACGGAAAACTTTAGAAAATTCCTCCCACAACACTAAAAGAAGTGTAAGTTTTACCGATGGTCGTTATTCATTCTAGGGTGTATGAACGTTGATATGAGTACCCCAGTTCCGATGTATGTCATCATCAGTGGCCAGAAAGTAAGAATGAAAACTTCAAATGCGTTTTTCTCACGACGCGTTTTTTTGGTATGTGTCCTTTTTCCGGAAATCTCCTCAATTTATACTTACAGTCCGCGCCACGAAAAGTGGCGAATGGGGGATGGAGCGAGTTGGCTGGTCTAGTCTATCATTGAAGGGTTGAAGCGCAGGTATTGGCCCAGTCGTTACCCTGTCGGAACTACGGGCCAATACCTGCGCTTCAACCCTTCAACCATAGACTAGACCGGCCTACTCGCTCCATCCCTCACTCGCCACTTTTCGTGGCACGGACTATAGCAGAATTTGCTTGGTAGCACTGCTAAGCTTTGCTTTTTCAAAATCTTTCCCAGTGGTTTCCCAGAGGTGGAGCAACTCTTTGGTTCATCACAAATAAAAAAAAAAAAAAAAAAAAAAAAAAAAAAAAAAAAAAAACCTTCCTATTCCATAATGTCTATAATCACAGTCAACCAGTGCTTGTTTCTAATCATTCAATTACAAAATTGGCAGATAAAATCGACTGCACAAAGTTTGAACTTCTTGCTCAAAGCAAAATAAAAGAAAATAAACCAACAGAGAATAGGTTGAGATCATTTTACTGACGATCACACAAACTTTATTTTGTTACCCACAGTATTGATTGACATAGCACAGGATTTTGCATGACACCTCTAAGCAATATGAGTTGAATTTTGAACACACATAATCAATCCGCAAAATTAGTGCTAAACCTCATCTACTCGCGATATGTTAGTTACTTTCTTATAATTGCAACCTGCTTTTCAACTGGTAGACATTTCACTTAAACAGGGGCCTCAGGTACTCAAAACACAACATCAACTTGTTTACTGCTGTGAGGGAACTCAGTGCAGCAGTCACAATGGGATGTTCGACAAATTGTCGGTAAACTAGCTGTTCCTGCTTGTTTCGAAACACCGTTACACTGCAATAAGACTGCTCTTGTCAGAAACTGGCAGCTTTATTGAAACTGCACAAGCTCCGAGTAGAAGAATTGCTGCCTAATGTGTCTGCCCTTTTGGGTTACTTGGCCCATAAAACTGGTAAACATGACAACAGCTCATTTTTCTAATGTCGGAAAACTCCAATAACCATCGGTAAGAGTCTCGTTGTTGTCGTGACTACTTTTTAACAGAGCTGTTCCGATACACTGAATACCAATAGGACACCTTTATTCTCAGACTGTGAGCTGCTTTATATCTTCAATGGATGATAGAAGGATTGGCACGATGGAATAGGGAAATATCAATGTGAGAGGGAAATTCAGATCCTGGAGCGTGAGTCAATAATCTTTCAAAAAACGGTTGTTTTGGAGAGGTAATTTGTGGTAACATGTTTGAAAAGGCAATCTTGAGGCAGTTTATCAAGTGACACTCGAAAATTGAATCTTCTTCATTCACTAATTCACAAACTTAGACAGAACTTTGTTCGTCTTAGGAGTGCTGAATCTAGATAACTTTGACTAGACAGTCACATTACAAGTAAAGAGAAACATCGATCAATGCAAAAACTATATCTGTGACGACAGTTTGATTAGAGCATTTTAGGTCCAGTGCTTGCATAAAATTATATTATATTGCCCATCTAAATATCTCAATGAGTTTGTGGGGAATTTAAAATTACAGAAAAAACAAATAAATAAAACTACGTGATTTTAGAGAATTAAATAGTACCTATTTTAGAGTTCCAGAAATTTGAAACAAATGTAAATAAGAACAGTGAATCTGATCTGATGTTCTTCACACTTTAATTTGTTGATTTTTGAAAGGATAGTTTCAAATTGACCCAAGCACCCAAAAGAAATCAATTGCTTACTTACCAAAAATTTGATGTCTCAAGCGACGTACACATACAGCTTTCTGCAAAAGAAAATTACAGAAGATTTTAATGATACAATTAGCATAGTGAAGGAACGGAGGATTATTACTGGCAACACCTGCTGTAAAAACGCGTCAAAAATACGGGTTTCAGTCAATTAATTTTTGTTTCATTTGAAATCCGTTCAGGTATATTTCTGTCGTCTTTCATGCCAGTAAGGTCTAACTTTCGAAAAATGAGAAAATTTTGAAACTCAGCTTTTGATGGCCATCTTGTAAAATAGCAGCCATAACTGTAGGAAACATGACATACCCAGCTTGTGCCTTCATTAATTTGTATTCTAGGTATCTTGCATGACAAGGCTCACCAAGTTTCATGCAGGTACCTCAAAATGCACTATTCAGACCCTGGGCGATCCCACTATTCTTATCATATATTCATGTCAATGCAACTTACCACAATAAATACGAGGGGGGACCTAAAAAAACCTGGAATTTGGCTGCAACTTGGCAACGATGGAAAGTATTCGGGTTCCACCGCTAGGAGGTGAAACTAGGAGCTATGAAGGGTCACTAGGCCAAATTTCAACATCGTAGCACATTTTAATTCATTTTGGCAAGACTTGACTTAAAGGGAGTTTGGCGAATTTGTCGTTTTAGAAGATGGGTAAACTTCAGTAACAACACTTAGCGCTCAAATTTTTCTCTCTTAATCGATAAGAATACGGCTTTCTCTGTAAATCTTTTGAAGTGCTGCTCGAATGAAGATGGTTAATAATCATTTAATTAACTAGCAGATATCACTTGGATGTAATACAACATATTCAGAACATTGTTGTGAAAAATTTGGGCCTAAAATGCGTTGTTACCGAGTTGATCCCCCATTTAGCGTTCTAGCCGGTGACGGCCACTTGATTTCCAGCCAACGTTTGAACAATAAATCACACTTTAAAACGAAGAAAAACATTTATTCACTTACATCATAGGTAAAGCATATCATGTCTCCTGCAAGATTCACTCCAAAAATTGACAGAGTTACCCGCACATTGCCTATGAAAATCACCTATTTTCAAAAACAATAAACTCAGCAAATATCCCTCATGCGAGGGCTCGCCAAAATGAAACAAAATGTGCTACAACTTGAAAGACCTGGTGACTAATATTAGCTCCTTGTTTCACCTCCTAGCAGTAGAACTCAGATATTTTCTACCGTTACCAAGTTACAGCACAATCTCAGTTTTATTTGGGCCCCCCCTCGTACCTATCTGCTATCGAGTATATAAACTGTTAGAGCAGAGTTCTATTAGAAGTTAAATGTCTTTTGGATTTACTTGGACAAAAAGAAAAAAAAGTGAGGAGAAAAACGAGAAAGTAAAACGTTAAGAGAAGAAAAACACTTACCGATCTTCAGGAGTTCGAGCTAAATATTCTCTTTCTATAAGACCTTCAATACGCTTTTTAATAATTACTGGCGAAGGCAAGAATCTAACCTTTAATTGTTCAGTTACTTCAGTTATGAGAACATTATGCTGAAATTTGAAAAAAAAGATGAGTTAGTGGTTAGAGAAAAATTTGAGAAAACAGAATAACTTTTAGCTCAAAGTAACGAAAACTTAGAACTTATAGAACAAAGATGGTAATAGTACTTGCAAAGATTACCATGATAAGAATTCCAGTTTTATTATTCCAGAATATTATTGGTAATGATACTATTTGAGTAAACCAACTGAAACTATTACTACAGGAAATTTTCAAAGTTCCAAACTTATAGTACAGAAAATGTCCTCAAAGTCAACTCCTGCGAAAGTCAATTTTCAGTCTATTTGGCATTCGCTCTTCTGTACGAACTGAGTGATTTATTGCTGGATGAATTAGTGCCAGACAGGATATGTGTATGATTGTACCCACTAGAATCACAATATATTGATTTCTGGCTTCCAAATTGTAATCAACTTCAGTCCAGGTGGGATTGCACACTCAAACTTGACCCTTCCTTGTTAAAGTAAACTGTAGTGCTGCCAATACAAAATTGGAGCTAAGAATACATGTTTCATTATTCTGATAACCGCAGTATTATATTTAGCATTAGCATGTTATATTCCACATTCTGATGTGTTTTGTCTCCAAAATTTCATAGAGAACTTGATTTGTGCCACAAAAATGATTAATAACTCCAAATCAACGTAACGTAACGTTTTCAATTAGCATTGGTTACGAAGAAATAGATTCCCCTCTTACAAGAAAAACAACAGTCTACTTGAATTAAATCGTGCACTCCAAGGATTTTGCTAGGCTCCTCAACTGAGCTGTGTTCCTTTCCCCAGTGTTACTTTCAGTAATACTCACTATACAGATTGTATTTGACAGTGAAATTTTGATGACAAATCATACATCATAGTGCTTGAATTTGCATCTTGTCTAGTAGTCCACTGCTGCAGAAGTTAGCTAACCATCACAGAGCAGCCAAAATGTTCAAATATACAAGACAAATGTATTGAACATTGTGCGGCAGCCACTTTGATGGTGACAAAAGATGAAATACCAAAGAGTATACTTACAGCCATCTTTTTACGGGCTTTCATTATCCTAACTATAGCAGCTTCAATTTCGTGCTTCCTATCTTCATCTACTTTATTTCTTGTTTCTCTACGTTCAGGCTCTGATTCACCTTTGGCAGCAACCGTCTGAATCTTCACACTAAAAAAAGAAAAAGAAGGTTCTATGACAGAGAGGGAGAAAACCTACGGAAGTTTATTTTTAAAGAAGGAGGGGCTGCAACTGCTCTTGAAACCTGTCTCCTTTATAAAAGAGTCAATTTAGTATACACTTAAATTGGCTAGACATTAATTTGAAATTTGAATTCATGAATTCTTAACCTCAAAAACTGTGCATATTTAAAAGCAATACAGAACTGAGTAAATTTTGTCATCTTTTGATAATTTTTTTTTTAGAACCCACCGAGTATATTGAGCCTTTAAAATAGGACTTCTTCTTTCTTTCTTNCCATTTATGCACGCAATTCGTGTCGCCGGCGGCAGTTGTCGCCGCGACGTTTTTTGGAATCGCGCGATTCCTATTTTTGTAGCCGCAGCACCTTTTTTCTACCGCCGCGACACCGTTTTTCTGGAGCGCAAAAGGTCCAAAACACGCACTCACTTTCAGTTTTCCAAGCGGCGGTCGCCGCCGCAGGTTGAAATTTGTCGCGCGCATAAATGCGCTCATATGACTCCGTGTAGTTACAAACCGCGCGCGCGGCAGGAAATCGCCGGGCGGTAGCGTGTTGGCGCTGCGGATGGTAGAAATTTGCCGACGAGACTCTGATGTTATTCAATCGTAAAATGATGGCAAAACTACCAATAGTTTAAGTATGATTGAAATGTTTGGAAGTTGGACTCGTTCGGCGTTTCCGGCTCAAAAAAACTCGAAATACTCGAAAAAACTCGTGTTGTTGACACTCGAGCCGAGTTCGAGTACTCGCTCGAACCTAACCTAACTTTCGAGCCGAGTCGAGTACTCGATACTCGGCTCGACTCGACTCGAAATTCGAGTACTCGCACAGCCCTACAATTTAGTATACGCTTAAATTGGTTAGACATTAATTTGAAATTTGAATTCATGAATTCTTAACCTCAAAAACTGTGCATATTTAAAAGCAATACAGAACTGAGTAAATTTTGTCATCTTTTGATAATTTTTTTTAGAACCCACCGAGTATATTGAGCCTTTAAAATAGGACTTCTTCTTTCTTTCTTTTCTTCTATCATTTTGACCTAAAAAAGTGAATTTTTAAGCACATAATCAAGAATTTACCGATAGAAAAGTGGCAGTATTGGCACAATTGAGGGTGAAACTGTAGAGTATGATTTCAATAGAAATTTACTGGATTAAAAGTTTAAGAAAAATATTTATAGATTTAACATTTAAAAGAAACGTTTCATAAACCCAGAAGCTTCCTGAGAAATTAAAAATTTTAAAAAATGTACTTTCCAGTGCAAAACTATTTGCTGAGCATTGCTGGGTGAAAACTTAAGAACAAATAAAAGCAGAATGACTTACCGATACAGCCTGGAAGAGAAGGAATCATTAACATAGAATACATGACTTGGTTCGATTTCTTTAGTCTTTGGATTTTTAATTAAGATCCTCTGCGTTGCTTTGCCCATCGCTAAAGACTGAAGAGCTCGAATGAGATCTCGTTCTGGAATATCTGTTTCGTTCATCATATCCTGGTGAGAAAAACAATCAAAGAATTCATGTCAAAGACTTCATAGGGAAAATTCAGTATCTTTTCAATTCCACTTCCTAATCTTGGGTTTTAGGAGCCTTCTAGAAAAGTATTCGAGGATGGCATAACAAGAGGCGGCAGGAGCAACACAGCGAGCAGTGATTAAGAAAGTATACATACCTCCTTGTTTTGTAGTTGTGTCAAAAATCATCTTTGACACATTAATCCATTCATATTAATTGATGAGTATACTTGTCATGGCACACCATCTGGCAGCGTTGCTAAGCAATTGCTTCTGTCATGTTCCTCCGACTTTTTGAAAGATAGCGCTATTAGGATTGTTTTAAATATCATTCTGGAGTATTCTGTTACTAACCTGAATGAATCTAAGTGATTTTTTTTTTTTTCATATGAAGCAACAAAGTATTTTTATTGAAAAACAAATAGTACGGCTAGGCACAGCCGACGCATTCTGAATGACATGTGAATGGGTGAATACAGGATGAAATTACATTTTGCCCAACAAAATGATTTGCAGAGGTTCACATTTTTTCATGCACTCAGTATAGGAAGAGATATGATTTACGAGCACATTTTTATCATGTTACTTATCACGGCTTAGAAGAGAGAACTGTCCAAGTGAAATTTTTGGGAAATACAAGGGAAATAGAATGATCCACTTCGCAATATGAAATAGACAGCTTGAATAAAGGAGGCTAAATAAAGATGAAATTCAATAGGATAGAATTATGGCACAGATTAGTGAGCTTTCTATCTACCTGACCTGAATGACAAAACATCGTTTTTTTCACTCTGCTATCAGAACTTTAGAATTGAAGCATACTGTTTCTGATGTGATGTTATGAACTTAAGGCTTCAGAGGCCTTTGATTTTTCTTTTTTCGAGCAAAATTTCCATCTATAATGAAAGCATTTACAAGACACTATTTTTAGCTATAAAATTGGGCTCAAAAATAACTAACTTTTTTTTTGCATATTTAAAAACTCCTTACTCCTCCTCTTAAAATGGTTGAAAGTATTATCATAAAAACAAAAGAAAGAAAAAGATACCGAAAGAGATCTCACCTCATAAGAAAGTTTATCACGATTATTGAAGAGCATTAGAATACACATTTGATAAGTAGAAACTTGAATAATATGTTTGCGAGGTAAGTTGCTCTTGGCAGAACTTGATTGAGGAGACACAATTAAACTAGTTGACGAGCTTGCTCCATCTTTACCCTCAAACTCTTCTCGCCTTTGCCCGTAGAACACAGCATTTAGATCGGCTGAACCTAGTTGAGGTTGAAGGGTTAACTGACGACCACTATGCTTGGCTAAATAAAATCTGAAAACAGATAAGTCAGAATGTGCTTTAGTGTCTTGGAGCAAAATATTTAATACTGAGCTATTATGAGAAAGTGTCTGTAAGAAAAATAAAGAAGGAAATGGACATTGAAAGTCACAGAACACTGATTCCACAGGTTTCTGATGACAATAAACCAGAAATGCATTCACCTACAAAATTCTTTACATATGTATAGTATAGAGTGTCTACTGAATTTTCAATTTGTATTCATCTAACATTTTAAACGAAATTGCCCAATTTTTTGGCGCGAATAAATTGACACGTGTTTGGTTTTACAAACCAACTATTTAATGAATTGAATATTGTACATTAAATATTCCCTTATTGCATGTGTTAAACTGCATGTATTTGGAGAATGCTTGACGTGCTCCGTATTTCCTAATCTGTAAATGATTTTCCGGATATTTTCCGTTTTTACTGATGGTAGACACTCTGTCGTAGCACCATATTGTTCACAATTTTAAGACTCATTAATAAAAATTATTCTTCTTTTCTTAAGATGAGCTTTCATTGCCTAAAGATTATACATATTATAATTTAAGATAAATATATTTTGTGAAACTTAGAAAATNAAAAAAAAAAAAAAAAAAAAAAAAAAAAAATTGGGAATTGAGTTTTAGGATTATTTTGAGGCTGCTTTCAGCCAATTCTAAATGAATGAGGGAACGCTGCTGGTTAAGAAAATGTTGCATATCCGACAGAAATTCCCTTGCAATTAGAAAGACTTTGAGTGGTCTAATGAGAATGCGTGTTGAAATAATTGAGGACACCGCACCAAGAACAGCCTAAAACTGGAGACCGCGTTTTGAGAAAAACGCATTAGAAGTTTTATTTTTGATGTACTGCGCAGACTTTTCTATGCAGGTACCCTGTTTTGGTGTTTTTGGGTGACCTAACCCTTCTATTGAAGGATGCCGGGTAGATTTTGCGAAAGAATGTTGATAGTGAGTAAAGATAGTAAATAAAGGGGTAACTAGCACCTTATAGGCCTGTTTATAGGTCGTTCTTGCACCTATCGATTCAGAGGCGTGACTTAACTTGGAAAAAAAAGGTTTTTCGACCTCGAGCCTTTTCCTATCTATATTCTATTGCTACCACAGCATAGTCCAGGGTACGTAGAATCCAAAAAGCAGATGGGCGTAATAACGACCTATACGCCTATAGGCTGTTCTTGGTGCGGTGTCCTCAATTTATTGGTTGACTTGGTTGTAAATTCTTCTTTTTGCTTAGTTGACACAGAAACAAGAATTTGGAGAGAGTTTATGGTAAATGATTGATACAAACCTCCTAAAAGCTTCAAAGGCAGATCTAGGCATAGATGGAATACTGCATTTTGGAGTGGCACTCTGTGTTGGCCAAAAACCAGTTGTTAAAACTCGCACACTTAAATCGACCCCAAAAAGATTTGTCTACACAGAACATCAAAATATTCAAAATTAACTCACTGAACATTCATGGAAAAATCACTGTGGCACAGTTTATGGAGGGAAAAAAGCAGTTGTTTCTTGAAAAGAATGGCAAGGAATCAAAGAAAATGATATGGAGCAAAACAATAGATATCTAAATACAGTCAAATTATGACCAGAATATCTTATGAGCAGAACTTGAAAAAAAATGCAGGCTAACTTTACGGTGATTTCAGTATCTGAGACTAATACTCAGCTCAAGTTGTAGCTACTGGAAATGAGCAACTGGAGCTTTTGGACCCAAGGTTTTTTTTTCCTTTTTTTTTTTTGCAAACCAGGGGTGATTTGATTTTTCTTTTTGCATTTTTCTCTTCTCAATTTAACAAGTTACACCTTCATTTCCATGCACGATACTTTTAATCTAACTCAACTTCGACTCAGAAAATGAAGTACGAACTCTTTTAGGAAATAATCCACTTTACTAGTGCTAAACCCCTTGACAGCTTTGCAGTCTAACCCCCTAAAGCGCTTCGTGCCTTGGACATGTTATGTTACTCTTATGATTTTAAATTATTGGGTACAATTTGATACCTTAACAAATACAGCCTTATTATATTAACGAGTGATTTTCAATTTAGTACAAATAAAACAATTTATCAAGCAATGAAGCAGGGTAAAAAGCTCTTTTCTCTTGAGAAACTATCTTGGCAAAAATTATTTGAAAGATCATACAGTTGGTGGCATGTTCTGGGACAAAAATAAAAATTTCAGAGATCAGAGATCAACTCAGTCAAAAGGTTTCTCCAAACATTGCCGGTTATTACAGACATTATCCCAATAATGGTGATTCTCTTTTTTTGGCATTAAAAATGATAAAAGATTTTGCTCTGTTATTCTATTAAGAAATTAATTTTTGTTTCCCTTTTTTAGAAGATAACTCAAATAATTAAACAAATTAAACAAAAGTTGAAACGAATCAAACAAACGGAACACTGGACCCCCCTTTTTTTCTTCTTCATATTCATTTTGTTTTGTTTGATTGGTTTTTTATTTATACCTATCAAAAATTTGTTTTAAAAAAATAAATAAAATAAAAAGATATTAAAATTTTGATGCAAAGAAAAGTAAAATGAGACCAATAAGTAGCCTTCTTATTAAACCTCTCGAACTCGAGTCTCAATACTGAGTTTCTACGTTTATTACAACCAGACTTTTTAAGTTTGGATATGCTGCACTAGAGCATGCTTGAGACTGAAGCACAAGTAAAAAAATCTGATTGGAGATAAGGCTCCTCGGCAACACCACCTTGCGTTCAATAAACGAATCATGCATGGAGAGTAAAAGTGATTTATTTGCAAATAGGCTGGTGCAAAATCACAAGGAGATCACAGGATGAAATGGAAGGGAGCACGGAAAAATTACCAAAAAAACAAAGTTGGGACAGAACTAAACAGAAATGTTAAAATAAGGGACTAGATTCACATCACAAAATGACAGAGGATAGAAAGGAATGTAGAAAGAGTAGCGGAATTGTGCTAAGTGGTTTGGGTCATCTGATTCTCTTGGACAAATTACTCATTGATGGGAACAGGCGTTGGAACTGCACTCAAAGATAAAATCTTTCACTGTTTACACACGGCAGAATTTCACAATGTTATCGTTCTTGCGCTGGGATTTAACATTTATATCCCTAGGTGAAGGATTACATTCTAGAACACATGAATATTTACAATTAAACCCTACCTTCAATCTATAGACTTCTAAATCAACTTAAACTTTCATTATAGAAATTTAAGTGCAAGTTCTATATTTCATTATGGTTCAAAAGTACCAAACACTATGATAAAGCATTAAATCCAAGTTAAAACTTACACCAACAGGCTTAAAAAATGAATTCAAAGCTCAATACAGCCACTTGAACTTAGTAGGGAAAAGATAGGAAGGATATTTCGCGGAGGGATACAAGCTTCGAAAGATTTTTCCTATTAAAAAAAAAAAAACAACTTCACCTGCTAGAATAACTGGAATTTTTCTCTTGTGTTTTTTGCTAGAGGCAGGCATTATTGAGGCTAAAAATCAGATTTGAAAAACGGAGAAAGAAAACTTCTTACCCCTGAAGTTGTGACGTGTTCCTTAAACTCTTCCATTATTGAATTAGAAACTGTCATATCTTTGAACATTCCTTCTAGTTTTGATGTAAATTGGCAACCGCACTCCGTCTAGAATTTGAACACACACAACAAATTAGCAGGTGGCAGAAGCAAAGGGTGCCATTGCAGGGCAGCATTCTCAACTCCGAGATTGCATCAGATGTTAGCAACTGGCAGTGAATATCAGACCCTTAAAATTTTAAATATCTTTATCCATATATTGTGATCTTCGGCTCTACAAAATGTCTTAGATACATGTTTATTAATTGAAGTTTAGAGTTTCAGCTAAATTATAACTCTAGATCACAAATGAGAAAGGCCAAGATTTGAACCAAAGGGGCAATTTATATTGAATACTATCACCGTGAATCTTAAAAAGTGATGTTTTCTTAAACAAACGCTGCCTTTCATTCAGGATTTTACAGGTAACCATGAGTTACACTTTTCCTCTTATCATATTACTGTTTTCTCACACACTAACTGAAAACCATCTGAAAAGAGGTAGCAATTCTTATAGATGTTCTTATTATTACAAGCAACATGCTAAATAAACTAAAAAATTGTGATTTTTCTGTTGAACTAAAATGTAATAAAAGATTCTAGATAATTCTGCTATTGGACCTTCACTAATAAAATGATTGGAAAACATCCATTGGTAATTGCAAAAAGCTTTAATGATTAAAGAAAGGGGGGGGGGGGGTATGGACAGCTTCTTACCTTTAATTTTGAAATCATACTTTTTTCACTATCGTCACTAACTGATTTATTCAAAAGTAACCGTTTAGCTAAGTGTTGCTTGTAATATCTTTCGAAGACATCTTTTTCCTGCAGGAACCGGAACAGAACCATTGTTTTATCCAAAATAGTTTCTATTTCTTGCTCAGTCATCTGGAAATGAAAAAAAAATCATTAGCTTCATCAAACGTTATATTATGCCTATGAAATAAATAATCATAGATTAGAATTTATTTAAAGGTTTAAATAAATTATTAGAACAGCATTTTCAGTGCTGCCAAGTACCAGGTGGAAGTCTGTGTGCTGCACAGCACTACTAGTCGTGCATACATAGCTACGCTGTAACTTGCATGTGTGCAGGCATTCTGTCAACATCAATGACCTATCCTATTTAGAAAGAATAGCAGAATGCATGAGGCAAAAATATCAGAGGAAAGTCTAAAATAGGGATGCAGGAGCCAATTCTTAAAGTTGATGATGGCCCCCACTCTTTTTACACCTGGTGCAGGGAGCAATTCCATATCAATAACAAAAAATAGAATGACAAAAATGTAGGATGAGTCAACTAGAGATGGCCAGGAATATAAAAATTACTAAGAAAACAAACTTTTTTGATGAATCATCGAGAAGAGTCTGTAGACGTCGGAAACAGTGGCGTGGTGTAAATTGCGATGTATTGACTGTTATGCCATTTAAACCTATGGTAAAGAATCAATTATTAAGGTGTTCACTGCGAACACTCTGTTTATCGATCCTTTTCCGTAGGTTTAAATGGCATAACAATCGATACATCTCAAAGCACGCCACCCCACTGGTCGGAAAATTAGATGAGCTTTGGCAGGGAGGGAGGGGAGGCTTAAAGGTTTAGAGAGAAATGAGTGTTCTTTCTGCGTGGTATCATTTTCAACCCAATTTTCAATTTTAAAATTAGGAAAAACAGTAATACTTAATACCTACTTTCCTCATTCCTTAAAACAAGAGACAGAAAGTTCCATAGTTCCCATTTTCCAAGATAATCTGTACTAAGGATAGTTTGTTCCTTAACCCATTGACTTAAAATGATGGCTCCCAGCCGTCATCGCAGCGCTGGGCCAGCTCTGAAATGACAGCTCAGAGCCGTCCGCTGATTGTTTGCGTTATTTCGGCAATTCTCCGGTAGATTGCGTTCTCATCAATGTTTATATGAGTAGTGTGGCCACCCTATGTCTTATTGTGTACGGAAATTTCTTGTTTTGTTACGGTATTTTCATATTACTGTGCGTTTGATCATGAAATAACCTCAAAATTTTCTGATTTTCGCTGATTTTGCGATTTTGACAGCTATAAACCATTGTGTTCTAAGTTTTTACTATTTTTCTCAAACGTTGTATTGTGAATGCTTATTTTGTCAATTTTCACCCTTTGAGAAATAATTTCTAGATTATTTTGAAGTGTTCAAAGTTGCTGATTTTCGTCAAATTAAATCGTAATTCCTGGCCCGGCAGGGTCAAATTAAATCATAAGTCAATGGGTTAGTACCTTCGTAAATGTAATTATATTCTATCAAATTCAAGTCATGTAGGTAGATACCAAGCATGCAGTTCTTGTAGTAGCTACAATACATTTACATACAATTTTAGTTTAAAAAATCCAATTTCACTGATGTAACTTTACTTTTGTCAATTGGGATTAAAGGATTCCATGATTGGATACATTTGTTTGGTGACCCCTAAAAATAAATAAATTGAAATTTCAATGTAGATTATAGAGATGCAAACTTCTACAAACATGAAGACTTTAATGAGATGTTATCCATCTTTCTATCTGATAAGGTTCCTCTCCACTGGCCAGAGGAAAAGTGTAAAACAGCACAGCTTTAGTATCAGCTGTTAGATTGCACAGAGGATTCAATTTGCTGAATTTGCTTTCTCAGTATAAGTTACGATTGTGGTTGACGCAAAATTTACCCATTCTACGATCTCGACTAAAAAAGGCAACCATAAAATTCATTTTACTTACCCCTTTTCCTCCTTTCTTCAGTTTATCGTCTATGAAGAGAGACAGATATTCGGGAGACTTGGAATTTAGATTTAAGAAGTATTCAAAATCTGATGCAATCATTTGTTTGAAAATCTTATCGTTTGCAAATGAGTTGTGCAAGAAATGATCTAATTTGTCCTTCAGATCCAGCAGATTCTGAAAAAAAATTGGTAAGGAATAGAATAAGTTACTTGACAATGTGAGTTACAGTGACAGTGCAACACATCATAAGACAAAGTTTTGATATAAAGAGACAGTATTTTCAGATATGCCAAGACAATTATACAACTTTTGTGACATAGAATTTGTTGATTTATTTACAAAATATCTTTGTCTGCTGAACTAAATGCAGGGTGATAGGTGCATGACAAAGTTAAAACCATGAAGATGTACGCTTTCCCATAACAAGAGCCATGCATTTTATATTTGTGCACTAATTACCTGTTCAAATACTAAAATCTACCTTAAATGACGATGCCCACTGAGGCATTGATACCTCTTGCATTGTGAAAAAGAAGTAGGAAATCCTTAGGAAAATATTTGTAAAAAAAAAATTCACTCAACTAACAGAGAAGACTAAACATGCAGTTGCATCTCATTATAACGTTTCCTAGAGTAACGTTTTCACAGATACAATTAATTAATTCAAGTCCTTGCCGACCATTTCTCGTTAAGATTTTGCTTGAAATGCGTTTTTCCGAGAGCAACGTTCTATTTGTCATTCCCTTTTAAAAATGTTATAACCAGATACAACTGTATTTAATATTTTTTAATAAAAAAAGAATGGCAATATGCAATTTATTACCTGTACAAAGTTGATAGCATTAGCGCCACCTTCTTCCTCTTGCACCAAAGCTTTTCCTTGCTCACGGAGATACTGACTGACACAGTCCGACATAGTTTTCAATCCATCTGTCACTCGACTAAGAAGTTTGTACATACATGCCAAATCCTCTGTTTTCTTGTTTTTCAGCATATGGACCACACCAGAGTTTTCCATCTGAAAATTCAAAAAAAAAGGTAAAGCTCAGTGTTTTCATCAACTCGATAATATCAATTTAGGTAATGATTTGGATGAATCTTAAGCTAAGAACTAATGTATTACTCGCTGCAGAGCAAAAAAAAACAAGTAGCAAAAGCTACCTGCTGAGGGGGCGCCGCCCCCNAAATTGCAAATTCCTCGCACATGTAACATCTCCATTGGGCCAAAATGCACCGATATCAATACCTCATATGTTACTTGGTTCCTCGAAAATTCTCCTCTTGGACTTAGCCTAAAAGTGTGGACACTTTTTAGCCTCCGGCGAAACCTAGAGTCTATACGGCTTCGCCGCACGACTAAAAACATTATGACCATGAGGAGACTGTTAACTGATACATCTTTCTTAGTGGCTATCTTGTCAAGTTTCATTTCTTTGAAGAGCAAGCCTCAGGGAATGATAATTAAAAATTCCCTTTGATGTATAATAGGCTTTCTGAGGTCTTCTTTAAAACGAAAATAGCTAAGAATTGGAGTTCAGGCTTACTGTAGCATTACTCAAAATTGCACTGCACAAGAAATGGTTAAAATAAAGAGAATTTGTAACTCACTTGTACAAATTGTTTAAATCTAATTCATACAATTTATAAAATTTAAATAATTTGAGCGAGTAAGTCTCATGTTTTCTCTCTATTCTTTGTGAATTTTAGGTATACTATAAAATGCAAAACAGACACTGACTCGATTTTGCCAAATTTATCATTTAGGCAGCATTGCTCCTTAGCTCTTAATATGTGTTTGAATAAATATTGAAAAAGAGTTGGTTAATCACTAAAGAAAATCAAATATTTTCAGCTAAATTTGGCACTCTTTTAAGTTATAGTTTGTGGAAGAATTTACCTCAACTATGGTTTTCATGTGTTTTTTGATGAGTTCTTCTTCAACTACTTCAACAATCCGGGTTTCTGTGGATTCATCAAGGTAGTGTTTCGCCCTTTCAGCTTCTTCATTGATGCGAGCTTCTACTTTCTTGATGTACACTGACGCACTATTTTCTCCTAGGAACTTCTGGCTTTCCATCTGCACAAAATCAAGATTAATTCATTCATTTTAGTCACTGATTAGTACTCAGCCAGGTAAAAAAGATAGAGACCTTAATAACTCTTAATGTAATGACGCAAGTCGACTCGCAGACTATAGTACCTTTAAAATTCCCTTAATCGTTCAGTAGGAATCAGTTGTTAGGTTTCAAGGAAGAGGAAAGAAAACCACTAAATTTAGAAACCGTCAGGTAATAATAACTGACAGAATTTGAGTATAAAAAAAAATAAAAGAACTCAAATTAACCAACTTAGTATACCCTCATCATCGATATTAATTATCTCATTTTTAATGCTGGTATAAAGTCCACTCAGTTGGCTGTGTGGCTTCTGGGCAATATATTTATTACTTGTGATGAACGACTACATAATTACTTTGAAAGAAAACTCTGTGCCCAGGATTTCCATTATTTCTTCTTTTCAAATTCCCTGACTTTCTCTAGCTTCTCCTGACTTTTTTTGTTTCTCCATGACTTCAAAATTTCTGGATTCTTTGAGTTTTGAACAAAGTCCTTCACTGAGATTTTTCCTTGGAACTTTTGCTGAACGCTGCTTGCAAAATTCCCTGACTTTTCCTGCGTTCCAGATTACTATAAATTTCCTGACCATCCTCTTTCTCCAGACCACCAGGTTCCTACCCTAGTGTAGTAGTAGCTTTCACCAAAAATGAAAAAAAAGGATGAATAATTTGGCAGGTTGTTGAAAAAATTATCTTTACCTTGAAAAATTCAGCAGACTGTTGTAGAAATGGTCTTTCGAAGTCTTCCTCATATACTGCCCGATTGTTGATTCCCAAAACCATCAACATCTGACTGGCATTTTTTATCGCTATTCTATCAACGACTTCTCCTTTTCGCTCGCGCATTACCAAACCTAACAATGTGTCCCGCAGGTGATCTCGAATGCAGCCATATCGGACGACCTACAGAAGAAAATTAAAATAAAACATAAGAAGGGAGCAAAATTGCGATGACCACCATGGAGGGACAAATAAAAATATACTTACTTCTTATCATCTCCAAAAGAGTAAAAACTTGATTGAGTGCATAAATGTTTCTGGTTTTTGAAAAAGAAAAAAAATTAAGCTTATTACATAGTGTCGAAACAGTTTTTTAGCTCTGGACTAAAATGCAGAAAATTGTTTCCAATAAAATTTTCTAAAATTCATGAGTACAGATACAGTTTCACCAATTTTCAATAAAAAATTCTCCTAGACTTTAGACAAAAAAATTAAAAAATTTGGGTGGCAGGCAAAAAGCACGATCTGTTGAGTCTAATTGCCACGTAATGCCAAATTATCTGACCAGATTTGTATACCCGCAAAAATCATGTCCAGCAAGATAATACAGCAGAGCACATAGTTGCTGGATATTGCGTCCAGCTCTAGTAAAATTTACCTCTCCATTTAGGGCACATTGTGCGTATTTCCAGCTGCATGCACATGATAAAGTGTTCTTACTCTTTCAGTATTCATATCCAAAGCACAGTTACCTGCATCAATTGTCAACTAATTGTAACACGATTAGAGTAATTTGCAGAACCAAGTGGGGCAGAGGAATATTTTGCATTACATTTATTTATTTTTTTTCTTTTTGAATGCTGTACCTGATCCCTGAAGATGATAAGACCAAGGTTGTATACATTGTCAACATCGTTTTGCTGCACATACACACGATCCATGTACATTAGGATATCACGGATCATGACCATTGACGTTTGGTGATCATTCCAGGCTTGGTTTAACGTTTGCAGGAAATTGTTGTTTAGTGATTTTAACACATCTTCTCGAACCTGCAAAATAACAAAAAGGCATATCACAAAACCTGGCAGAAGTGGCAGATATATAGCAGAGTATTTGTACAATTTGCGCACTAAACTTTTAATAAAATAGTACTTAATGGAATAGATTCAACTATTTTTTCCCCATATATTTCTTTATTTTAATTTCTGTTTTGTGACGTAGGCTCTCTTTGTAATTTAGTAAACTACTTAAAGCAAAATGAATTTAACAATGAGGAGGGACAAGTCAGAAGGCTCTGACTATTATACATATTAAATTTTCTTCAATATATGTCCAGTGTAAAAATTAAGGGTCTCCTAGAGTTTTGCTTACTCAAGTGCTTTTATTTATTAATAAATGAAAGAAACAAACATTGAGCTTTTAGTCGATTTTCTCTTTAATAATATGCAAACTAAGGCCATGCTTAAAATAGACAGTGTGCAAGAGAATGTTTATTTAAAAGTTACCTTAACATGGTGATAAAAGCAAACATTTTGTAATTTTTTCTCTTGTTTGCTTCCTTCCAGTATTTTTCTGCCTTTGTTCTTTGCACTAGTGTAGGTCACCGTCATGGCCAAGACATTTGCTTTTATGGCCATGCTAAGGTAATTTTTAAATAAACATTCTCTTGCATACTCTTTTTTTAAGCATGGCCTAAGTTTACATATTAGTAACGAGAAAATTGGCTAAAAGCTCAATATATTGTTATTTCATTATGACTGGCTGAAAACCCAATAATTTTGTTAATAAATATAAATGATTAACTTTCAGATTCAAGGAAATTGTCCATTGCCCTGAAGCTACTTTGTAGTAGGTTCCTAAATGCAACTAGTTTTCTTTAAAAGATGCTGACGATTATTTATACCACAAAGGACCCAGCACAGAGAACCAAAGAATTCAGAGTTGGCTGAATTTTGTGGAGTAATTAATGAATTAATATTATGTCCTTTACAAACATGTCATCTCTTCTGAACACAATGAGCTTTTAACATCAAACTTTCTATAAGCTAATTTGCAGAAAAGCGGGGCTGAAGAGTGAATTTTTCACGATTATAAACGCACCATTCAGCAGAAATGTTATGACATCTGATTGGAGATCAAGGAGAGCTTCTGTTTCTTTGCATGTTGGAGAAATAAGATAGACAAGAAGATCTAATTATTCCAAAAAAAAAAAAAAAAACAGCGTGCGGAGCAGCATCCACACACACATAGCAACAATCCCACATTACTGTATGAAAACGAGTGCAAGAATACTGAAAATTTTACTTTTCAGCCCTTTTCTCTCGAAGTTGACACATACAAAGTTCAATTTAGAAGCTTATTGTGCTCCACATGTTGCAAAGAACAGTGTATCAAATGATAATAAAATTTAACTGGTGCAGAAATTCTTGGTATTATGTGCAGAGTCTTTTGTAGAAATGTCCTTCCTGCAAATTTGTTGCAAATAATTTTAAATGATTTGTGTGCCACTACTGAAAAGATGACAGTCATCAGACTAAATATGGGCCCTCATACCCTTTCTTTCTTCCGAGCTGTAATGAAATGAAATGAAGGCTTCTGAGAAGCCTTCATTTCATTTCATTACAGCTTGACTTAGGTTTAACTGATATCTTATGCTCTTTACATTCAAATTACTGTAGAATAAACACGAGGGTAATTTGGAAAATGAAAAAATAACTTTACCTGTGCATCCAGGATATGTATAGCTCATTTGAATAGATTGGTCCCCAGACCGAGAAATCCCAGACCCCCTCAGAATCCCAACTCGAGATTTCGGATCTAAAAAAACACCTTAAAAGCTCGTATTGATACTAACAACATTATGTATCTGTCTCAACAACAACAAAAAAACTACTTGCCTTAGATTCAAGATGCTGCGTAACAACTTCTTTCAACCCAGTGTACAACCGTTCACCAAATTTGTGAAGTACCATGGTGTAAGCATTTCTGTACAGCTCTTCAAAACTGAGGCCGGAATTATTTTTCTTCTGGATTTCTTGAATAGCATTCTTAAGAAGGGCCCAAATCCTCTCCACATACTTCTCATCCATGGACATCTGAAACAGAAATTTAGATCAGACAGAGTGAGGAAAGTTCTTGTGAAAAAGCTGTATACAACATGATCATACAGCAAACGGGTCAAAATGGGAACGGCAACAAATTAATTTGATGAAGAATGGTTGAAAAACTGCTCCAATGGAGAATTGAGTTGTTCCAGATTAAAGTCCATGCCAAAAAAGAGTACGCACTTTTAGACTGTGGCAGAAGAATCAATGCAGTTTAGCATTGAAAGTAAATGCAAGACATAAGATGACAGATTTTCTGTCGCATTCTAAAAGTGCAAAAACTTATTTGGCAAACATTCTACTTACAACAATGCTAGTGCCTTGATTAACTCAAGAGAATCAAGCTAGCAGAGTATTCCAACTACTTGAAAGATTTTGAAATCAAGATAAATATCAAAATTCTATGCAAATTGTGTGCTTTAAAAAACCGTGTAGTCAGATTAATGAAGATGTCTCTTAGCTCTATCATATATGACATTTTCCGATGTGGCACACCTGCACAAATATCCACATTAAACACGCGATAAAGGTTGAGCTCAGCAGAGATCTTACCCCATTGTCAAAATGCTTTTGAAATGGTGGGTCGAGGATATTGAGATCCCATATTCCAATTCTAAATTTGCTCCTGAGGCCGAAGGGGTCTTTTGAATCTTTCGAATGAGTTGCGCCATAAGTCTGAGACCGATCATGGGTTCTCGACATGTGGACACAAAAGCTGCCGAGTGATGAAGTCAACAAAAATGCAAACTAGATAAAACCATGGATTTTTAACTGTATTGAAAATTTGGAATCACACATTTATGAAGTCTTGCCAAAGCATGTTTTTTGCGAGCTATGAAACAATTTTGGGGGGGAAGGATACAATGGCAATTCATTGCAGAAAAACAAGGCAGATTTGAAAGTAGAAAATGAATGAAAGCTGAACTACAGGACCACTGGAAAAATTGAAATTGCACATAAGAAGAAAAATCAAATTTTCGCAGTTATTTTAAGCCAGATTTTCCGAGTTTTCGATGGCACAGCAAAGAAAATTGAGTCAAAAAAGACCTACACTGAAAATTTAGGGTTGTGTGATTAGGAAATATATTAAAAAATGTGCCCAGCATAATTGCATTGTTATAGAGATTGAGGTTCAGAAGAACAGCTGACAAATTAGTGGAATTGAAAGAAGGTTATACGTCAGCTGTTTAAGAGGAATCTTCCCCTCTGCTTGTTCCACAAAAGAAAATTACATAAAAATAAACAAGGGAAGTTCTTCAAAGGAGACAAAACTACTGATCTTGTTTTTCACTCTAATTCAGCAATATGCTTGCAACTTATTGCACCTGATTGGATTAAAAAGCAGAAAAAAAATTAATATAAAAAGACGCATGCACGCAGCTGATTAAAAGTTCAATACATTGTTCTGCAATTTGAATCAACCTAGAACAACAACAACGAGGTGTTTTGTTTTGTAATTTGAAGATGTAGAGAGCCCACATACAACTCAAACTTACATCAAAGTGAACAAGAGTTTCTGGTAAATGCCAAGTGGCCCGGATTGAACATTTGAACATCACCAGTGAAAGAAGTATATTGACGCACTCAAGGACCATCAGGTAGCTAAAATACTTTTCGTTTCCTTTTGACAATAACCAGTTTCAGGCACTCTTTGCCATACGGACCAAATTTGCTTTATACAAGGGACGCCAGCCAGATGGATTAAGAAATAAATAAGGATTAAGAGATTCTAGTGAAATTTTGCGCCTAAAAACTCTTGTAGCTTTCATTCCTAATACATCTTTGCAGGTTGCAAAATTTCCTGCTAAATTTTTGAGGACCTTCATTGCTCCCAAGAAAATTATTGATGGTGCCTAAAGGTTACCTTCGCTGGACAGGTACCTTCTAAAATTTTGGTAGGGAAAATCATTGGATACTTAGTTGATGCCTATGAATTAGATGCGCTAAAGATTATTGACCTTTAAGTAGACTACACTCATAACATTTCACTCTTGCTGCTTGATTATAATTTTTTGTTACTTCCTCATAGTGGCATTGAACTTAAGTATGTATCCATCATTAAAAGGTATTTATTTGTTGAAAAAAATCATAGAAAAGAGGAACAGTTTGATTTTTAGTAGCCTACATTGATCTCAATCACATAAGTATTATCTGGATGTGTTTTTGCTTAAAAGAAGTAAGTAAGTGCATACAGTTGGCGTGCAAAAAAGTTTTTTTTGGCCTACGTACGTCCATCTGACACAATAAAAGAGATCACATCTCACAAAATCCAGAATTTACACAAATACACACACACACTTACAGGGAAAGAGCGGATTCGCATCTTCGATTCCTTCTTCGGGAGGCCTCCTTTCATCATCTTGATAAGATTGTTGCTGAACTTGGCAAGGAAGGAAAGGTATGATCAGAATTTCATTTCTCAATTAGACCGTGTCGTGTCTGGTCATTGCCAGAAAGCTGGTTGTAGTATTCCTATTAGAGTAAACGTCTAAATCAAGTGGTGATTCGGACATAGAAGAAAACTTAGGAAGACCGAAGACTTCTGGAATGCATTAGGGCCAAAAAGCTGGAAAAAAAGAAAATTATTAGGATTAGAGGATAAAATGAACTGAATAATAATCTAATGCTAAGTGGATGGAGTTCTGTTAATTTTTTATGCCAATAAAGGCTCCTGAAAGTTACCAAATAAAATACCTCACTGCAGTAACAAGATAACTAATTAATAAAAATATGGACATTGCTTTGTTCTCGATCGAGAATTTATTTCATAATTATTCATACTTAATTTAGTGCAAGAATGTTTAAAATTGAAAGATAGCGATATTTTGATAATGCAATACTTAGGTATTAAAACACCACAAATCTATCTTTGTAAAACAGACAAAAAAAGTGTCACGAAATCATAGGGGAGGATGGCTCATGCTCCGTTTACGTAGTTCATCTATCAAGGTTCCATCCTCATTCAATACAAACCTTAACTTGACAAAGATAAAACAAAATTTAGGAGGTATCTTGCTGATTCAGCAGAAAGTTTGGTAACTCTGTGCAGGAATTGGTTACTTACAGTGCCTCAACAGCAACAGACCTTGAGCTGTAGATAAAAGTACAGCCACACCATCCCTTGAACTCACTCATCAATGATTTATAGACTTTAAGTTTGACATTTAAGAGGATTTTCTGAATTTAAAAAAATAAACACCTGACTAGATTTAGAAACTGAGAAGGCAAAGTGTGATAAGTTCAGAACACCTGTCATCTTTGGCACTATCAAAGTTGTAGAATCGAAAATGAGTATTGCAAGGTAGATGGAGATACTGATCATCATTAATGTACAAATTGGTACAACATTTTTGAATTTCTAGATGATGTGCCACAAAACTAAGGCAACATATAGTAAAAAGAGATACTTCATTCATAGGCAATGAGAGGTTAATGACCCTCGTAGAACTTAAGAGCAGAACTAGTGAGAGAAAATACCGTGTTCATCTACAGTAAGCTTGATATTAGAAAACTTAACAGCAGCATAATGCAGTCTGTTGAAAATAATGTTGAGAACTCAGACTGGAAATAACAGTGTAGAAAGAGAGTTCCATAACACAGGCACAATGAAGATGTCGCATAACCCTAATAAGGCTTTGTCAGAAAATGACATATGAGATAGATAAACATTCTTGCACTCGCATGAAATAATCCATAAATAATAGAGAGAGGAAATTAGGGATTTTAGAGAGATTAATCAGTGATAAATATGAATAATTTGGAGATGAGCAGCAGTCAAATACTAAAGTAAACATAGTGCTGAGACTCCGATAACCAAGCTTGATACCACAGGACAAAGCTGTGTTTGACAAAAGCCACATATTCAAGGCATGTCCAGCTTTTAGACTGAACCAGTTGTGGAAGGAAAGTGGTGAAGCCTTGTCTTACGATCAAAATAGAATAACAGGATTGAAAAATAAGAATGAAGTGTAAATAGTGGCCTAGTTTGATTAACCCTGACTTAATCACTAAAGTGTGAAGGGAGTTCATACTCACAATTGGCCATAAGATAACAGTATAAACAGCACTAAGGGCATAGGACAATGAGAACTGTAGAATGAGGAAAACAGAAAAGCACACACGGTTCTTAATCAATTAATTGCAGAAAAACTTTAAAAAAGCTCCCAAACATTGACAAAAGTTGTGAACAATCCCCTCTACAGCTACTGACAAGACAACACGGGCCAGATGATCGAGTTGGTAGACAGATAAAGCTAGAAGAAGATGTAGGTCGACCTCAGCACCCTTGAACTCCTCACTTTTCAATTGATTATTCTGTGATTTTATGGATTGATAGAGCATTTTTCAAAAACTTAGCTTTCAAGTATGAGAAAAAAATTCTAATATGGTGAAATACATGATTGATATATTTACTCAGAAAGCTGTAAATATAAAGAATTAAGAAACAAATTTTCGTGTTGAGCACAGTTTGCAATGCATTAAAGTTCTGCAAGTTGCAGAGCTTTCAGGCCCCTCCTCTCCCTCCTCTGTCAAGGTGACTACTCTGCCAAAATCACTAGTCGATAATCTAACCTACAAGAAATTGAGAGCCAATTTCAAATTTGTAGAATAACAAAACCACAAAACAGTTTTCATTTGCCTTTCTTATCATATTTTCTCACATTTTTAACCTTTTGATGAGTGAACAATATTTTTGAGTTATCTGTAAGAACTACAACTGCTATGTAAACAGCGTGCATTGAATTATCAGACCGAGAATATTTGAATTGCTAAGTCTGATTGCAAAAACAACACAGGATGTAAGTTAAATTTTTGGAATTTGATTTGTATTATTTAATATTATTTGTCAACTTAAGAGAGAACTGACCTCATCTGCTCCAGGTCTATTAGATAAGTTTTAAGGAGTGGTGAATTAAACCTGCTTCGGGCTCCCAAGGTAAGTAGGTAGAGGAAAACATATCTGTGTACGTGTACGTATCGCCACCACCTTGATCAATGAACATGAGTTCTATTTGGGTTTTTCCCTAAAATTTGGTTTGACAATGATCAGATCAACATCTCTCTTAAAAATTTGTAATTTTTGATGTTACTTGGCTTCTAATTATGGTCAAAAGTGCTATCAGTAACATTTCGTAGATCAAAATTGATTATTGATTAACAACACTTTTTCGAAGACATTATAACTTATAGACAGTGCGTTTCCTTATCTCACCGTGCTTGCACGCAGTCTATCTAAAATTTACTACCAGCTTATTTCAAAACAATTCTAAAAATCTTTAAAGCTTCACGCTAAAATTTGACTAGAACATGTTCAGACAAGGCTTGTCTAGCACTAAGTGGAGCCTTGATGCAAATTCGGTGGCTTCGGCCAAAGCGCATCACCGATGGATGACTGTTGCCGCATGCGCACTCGGTTGAGACGGTGACCGCGCGTTCCGGGTACCCACTGTCTATGCATTTTTTCAGTATCACTAATGAATCTTTTTGGGTTAAGTGACTTATAAATTTAATTCTTACCCTGAAGACATGGATCCATTTCCTATCAATCCAATTTTTGATAATCCGAAGAAACTCATAATTGATCATACTTGCACAAGTGGTCGCAGAGAAGCGGTATCAATAGTACATAGAACCAAGTATCTACCTTGAATCACCCTACAGGAGAAATATTGTTCCTATATTGCAAGCCCATCACCCTAAGCCGAAAAAAATCAGCATTCAGTGTCACAGTTTCTCCTTCTTGCAATGTAATGATATCTTAACTTACTTTGATGAGAAACTGGTGGTAAGAACTGAATGAGGAAATGTGCGCAATCTCATAGGAAACTTTAAGTAATTGTTTTGGATGCTAGGCAATTAAAATAAGAATCATGCCAAAAATTGCAGTATCTACTATGTTTGATTTATATTATATGTTGTTTGTTTGTCATCTTTCAGGGGCCTCCGATGAACTTTCTGACAGAAATCGGACGTGTGCTACTGTCCATTATGCCAATTGATCAGTGCATCCCACTTTTTTATGCACCATGACAAAGAAACTAAATTGTCTTCAAATTTGCATTTCAAGGTTGGTATTGAGAGAGTAATCATATCACCTCTATGTGCTCTGCTAAGCAACAGCGCTTTGTAGCAAAGTATTTTTATCTTACCTGATTGATCATTGGCTTTTGTTCAAACATATATTGTAAAAATCTTGCTTATAATATCCATTATCAATTGTTGTTTTCCATGGATAACCAAGTAGCTTCATCTGTTAAAATGAACAAAGATTCCTCTTTGTAAGATGATGAGTATGTCTCTAAAGATGACCAACCTACAATTTTTACCACCATACATCAGAAGACAGTTTTTTTAAAAAAATTTTGGCCTCTCGGTGTAGCGTCAAGAAGCTGACCATTTTTTTTTTTTTTTTTTTGGACAGATTTATTTTGCTCTTAACATTTTCAATTTTCAAGGGATTTGATCAGTAAGTCTTACTTTTTCCATTAAGATTAAGAAGGTACAAACCATTCTTCTTACTTCTGCTGTGAGTACCTACTTACCTACTCCGTAAACAAAAAGCTTTAACTGCTTTTCTTTTCTTTTTTTTTTCTTTCATCTTATTTTATTTGCACAAGATAATAACAATGCACAATTGAACACTTTTAGACGAAATTCTTGTCTTTTAAAAGCTTAATCTATCCGTTAGGATTTATACTTAACTCTATACAATTTTCATTCTAAACAATACATATTACTACCTCTGATCCATTGAGGAGATAATAAAGACAAGATTAATTCTAATTAATAAATATTTTCGTTTCATCTGAAGAACAGCGGACGACCGAACCTGGTCAAGTCGGAAGAATCCCCGATCATGTCCGAGGAGCACGAGGAGGCATGCTTAATTGATCTATTTCTCTAAGGGGAAAATTTTGTGAACCCCTGGATTCCAAGCTCATGGGGCTTTCTGCATTTTAATCGCCTTCTACATTGGTGCAACTCCAAGAAAGCAAGTGCTTCTGGATTAGGATGCCAATGAAGTCGAGATACGAAAGAGTTGTATATTTTAGTAATGTACTCCTCTACCAAGTCTATGTTGAGGTCAGCGCAAATATCTGCGTTTCTCTCATACCATCTTGCTTTAACTATGCTTCTTAGTATTTTCATTTGCATGATTTCAACTTTGTCGAGATTTGACTTGGCTGCACAACCCCACAATTGGCAGCCATAACTCCAAACCGGCCTCAACATTGACTTGTAGAGGAGCAGGTTTAGTTGAAGGGGTAAGTGTGATATTCGGCCTTAAAGCCACTGCATATTTGCAAATTCCAGGCGCAGTTGTACAACCTTTTTCTTCATATGTACACCCCACTTGAGCCTGGAATCCAAGTGAAGGCCTAGAACTGCTGTATAAGATGTTTAAGCTGTCGATTATTCTGTTCTTTTCTAACTATAAGGATGTTTCTCCTTTCTCCCTAAGATTCTTACTACTAGTACAAATATTCTAAAATGAATCATTCATAATTTGTACATTTACTCCAAGTTTTTTATTTTCTCTTTCTTTTTTAGGACTTCTATGAAAAAGGAAGCTGAGAAGAAGATTTAAAGATATTATCCAGAATGAACGAATATTAAATACCCATTCTGCCAGTTCTACTTCAAGATTTTTTTTTTTTTGGCAAGTAAAACCTTATTGCTCAGTTTTTTAATTACAACTATGAAGGCGATAAACAAAGACTTAGATATAGAGAGGAGAGATCAAGCATTTAATGCTTTCTTGTGCCATATCTGCAAGAGCAAAGCATCTTTCTGTCAATCGAAAGTGTGTTCAGGATGTAAACTTATTAGTTACTGCGGCATTGATCATCAAAAATTTCACTGGAAGAGTCACAAAAGCTTCTGCTTAACTGCTCAAAAAATATGCCGTGAGTTAAAATTAGACAATGTGTTTGCATTGCCCTTTTGCTCTAATAGCCTAACTTCTGATTCACTGTGGTGTCAAAAACGATGGAATTTGAAAACTATTTTTGAGCAACATTTGAAACGATGTTTAAGTTTGTATGAAGTGAACATGTTGTTCTTTCCCAGAGTTTGCAAAGTTTGTTATTCAACAAAAATCTTAAAAGATTTAACATGCTTGAAATGTTATAGTGTCTCATATTGCTCAGGTGAACATCAAATCGTAGATGATCATGAAAAAATTTGCTCAGATTTTCAAAAAGTTCTAGATTGTGATTTGTTCATGCAAAATGTAGATTTACTTTCCTTGGAATCTTACTTGATTGAACCCAACACTAAATTTGATGCACACGATACCAAAAGTTTTCTAACCAATCATATCCATTCTAGACTAGATGCTGGATTGGAAAGTTTAGTAAGTCAGTATTACTCTGGTGTTTTAACTGTATTTCACATCATCAGCGAGATGCCAAACTTTACAGTTGGGAAAAGATTAATCATCCACCTTGTAGGTGCTAGTTCATCGTATGAATGTCAATTCATGAAGTATTGGGAAACTTTGTTACACTTACTTCCTGAGCTCCATTCTGTGTTGCTAATTCACATAGGACCAGAACTAGAAGACTCTCCGTCTATATTGAGACCGTGTGATACTTGTTGGAATGCTAACAAATCAATCCAAGTTCGTTTTCACTCGGAATTTTATCATCAATATTGTGATTCTTTCCATGCGAGCATACCTAATATGATTGTCAGCTTCAACTGCGGTTTACATGAAGATGAGGGTACGGATACTGATATGTGGAAACAAAGTCTACCCTATTTCCTAAAACATGTAAATGTTCCAATTATGTTAACTGCTTACACCAAGGAAGAGGCAAAGCATGATCTCAACAGACTTATAAACGAAAGTATAGAACATAATATCAGGGTAAAAGTCATCAAAGAATTTGAGAAAAATCCGTATAGTTGTGTTAGGCCAATCAGGGATTGGGAGAGTCCAGGAGATTCTGTTTTTTATTCAAATCATTATGTCTCTGCTTTGGCTGTTGAAAGGGATGATAAACTTCTCCCTTAACTCTTTGATTCTCGATTTTCATCTCGGCTACTATTTAAAAAATGTTACAAATCAGTAACAGCATTTTACTTGAATTTTTTGTCCCCCCTCGCACAGATGTAAATGAAAGTGTCATTAAAGGAAAAATTGTTCTTTTATCATATGAAAACATCCTTTTTTGTGTGTGTGTTTCTGGTGTACTAATTTCAAGAGATGGGATCAGATTATCTTTTTAAAATAATATTGGAAACGATCATCATAACCCAAGATTTTTTAACAAGACTGAGATAAAAATAAAGGCCTGAATGTTTAGGTTGAATTATTGACGGTGGAACTCCCAATTGAAGAACGTATCTCGTTTGTGGTGCTTTAAAATCTTTGCTCCTACTCTATTTTTCAAAAGTAGACAAATCAACGTCATTCCCTCAAGTTTTCATAAAATGTTCCTTGCACATAAAAGGAAATTCATAGCAGTTATTAAGAATTGTCCACTAGGTTTCCATTTAAATATAAAGTATGATAGGAAATCTGCAATGTCGCAAACTGAGATACATACGTTGTTTGTGAGTATCACTGTCGGTATGTTGGTTTTTAGTTACACTTCTAAGAGTCTACATTGATGACAACTCAAAATGCTGATTTTAAATTCTTAATAATTTCTGGGCTTTCAATATTGCTACAGAAAAAAGAGAATCCATTTTCTGTAGAGGAAAAGAGTAGAATTAAGGGGGAGTGAGAACAGAAAGAAACTAGAATCTTCCTGGACTCTGTCTTTTAGTCGACCATTTTCAAGTGATAGTTCACCGTGAGGGGTCTTATTAAATGATCACTTATTTAATTCGGTGACAAATTTGTAGTTTTTTTTTATTAGTTTCCATAAAAAGCCATATTGTTATGCCTGATCTCACATTGTTGTAAAGTCCTGAAGTACAAAATTTTGCATCTGTTAATAATTTACAAATGTTTGTATCAGTTTTTGCTAATTGTGATTATTCTTCGATATTTCTGAGGAAAAGTTTCTTTTGTTATTTTTGCAAAATTGTTACTTGAAATACACCTTTTTTATGTTTTGTAAGAAACAAGTTCATTTATTTCCGTCCCCTCTCATCATCTCAGACCCTTTAATTGAGGTTAATTTTTCAGAGATCTACATAAATTTCTGATACCTATTGACTAAAACTATCCAAAAACCTGATTCCTATTTAAAAAGGAAACCTTTGTCAGGTTAACCTTCCTTCCCTCTGAAATTTTTATTTTTGTTGAAAGCAACTCATTCTTGGGTCTGCAAATATTTTTCTGCTCTCATGTGACATTATCCAAATCCCAAAATGTTAACGGTCCAACAGACTTGGGCCTTTAGAACCCAAAGGCTTCTGTTTTTTTCTTTTTTTTAATTATTAATTTTCATTTTTATGCAATGCGCCGTTAAAATTTTGTCTTAAGGGCATGATCCATAAAAACCCTCAAGAATGATTTTTCTTTACAAGAACGTAGAAAAATGATCCATAAAAACCCTCAAAAATGATATTTTTTTTTACAAAAACATACAAAAATGCCTATTGGACATGAATGCCGCGCGCCGCTAGTAATAGGTACAACTGGAGGGCCATCGAGTGATCAGCATTTCACAAATTTTCAAAACCGGCGAATTCCTGAAAATAAAAACACAGAACAGCAAATCAGCTGTTGTATGCGCTATTGGCGTTAAAGGCTGAGGAGCGCGCGGTGTGCGTAAGGCGCGCCGAATTAAATGAAGGGGCCAGAACGAGGTACGAAATTCTGCACTTAAGCCTGAGATACGCGGAAAAAGTTCTACGGTTTTAGGTAACGGGCGCTGACGCCTACAAACCCAACAGGGATACTTCACGCATTGCGCAATGCGTGAAGTATCCATGTTAGGTTTGTAGGCGCCCATGCGCATATAACGCTGGTCGCCCGTAGGCCGCGGACGCGGAGTGCCACGTCGCGCGTCGCTTCAAGCAACTCTCTCACGACAGAGGTGTTCAAAGAAATTCAAGGCGCTCCAACGTTTCAAGGATGATAGGTATCCTTTAAGAAAACAGAGCTATCCTCGCAAAATAAATCAGGATGCTGAGGAGGAACTTGCAAAGGGCTGGAAATTTAACTCATGTGCATCGTTCGCCTATCAGAATGTCTGCGCATGCCGCACCTCGCACACCGAAAAAAAGTGAGGACGATTTCACATTCTAGGTAAAAGAGTAAGCGAGAACTCACAAAATGCTGAACTGCCCGTTTCAGCAGTTAGTTACATCTTGTCATTGCTAAAGTAACTGCTGTAGCAATTCAGAATTTTGTAACTAGGTACTTGCACACTTTTATCCAGAGTGTTATGTAAATCAACTTTACTTCTTTTTCGGTGTACATATAACGATCAGTCTCGTGTTCGTGGATCTATTAGATATATTCTATGGATCTGCTCGTAAGACAACATTTTAACGGGGCATTGCATAAAAAATAAAAATTAATAATCAATTAAAAAAAGAAAAAAAAACCTCGCTCATTATTTTGAAGAGGAGAATGTGAAAAATTGGGTCATCAGTTTAATGAAGCTGTAATGAATGAGAATTATTTCACTCACTAGCAGACATTCGATTAAATAAAGTGTGCAAACTACCGCTATTACGCTTTACGCTTTTAGATTTCGCTATTACGCGAAAAATTGGCCACTCTCCGTCGTAAAATTAGCTTTGAGGCATCGAAAATTCTTCTCGATCATAGTTTTCGAAAAGGAGACGGAAAGCGTGATTAAATGAGGAAATCAGACTAGCTCTTGAACTTTTGTCAAGTGTCCAAATACCTATACATTCCTATAAAATTTCTGAGAAGGGTTGAAAGATCCTTTCCTTCGAAATGTTCACCTTTTTGGTAACATAGAGACGCTTTATCAGCCCCTCCCCTCTCCCTTCATCATCCGCCATTTGTCACATTCATCGGAGTAGGTAGGACAGTCAATTTTTAGACGTGCGCCCTTTTGATCGCTTGAGAGACCTCTCAATTTTTTTATATTTTCAAAGCGATAATTGATTATACAACAACAAGAAACTACAGGAATCGAGAGTGGTGCACAACCACAACACCAGAAACAGAACAGAAAGTCTAATCATAAAAATTAATAAAACAGCGGCTCGAGGCCATAACTTTTTCTCTAAACTACCATCAAACATAAGGAAAAAAATTAAAGATGAGCCCCGAAGCCACAATGCCCTGGTCAGACATTATCTAATTGAAGAATGTCCCTATTCAATCAACGATTTTTTAAAGGGGACAGGTTGATATCATTGTCTTTTTTTTTATATATATATATACATATATTTATTCTTGTTTCTTGTTTAGAAAAATTCGACGCATTTGTAGAAGCCATGTGCAAGCCAAAAAACAAATAAAGATATATATTATTAGGGCGCATCCTGTTTTCGGCTGTGTTGCTCACTTAGCCCTTGAAGCACCACTACAAATGTGACAAACAAAAAGAACACAATATGAAAATAGAGCTAATTGAAAGACGGCGCAGAGATACAACTATTTGTACTTGATGGAAGTCTGTGTTGCATCTGCAAAATTGAAGGCGCGATGGCGCGAGCTGTAAATTCGCGATGTTCCGCAGCTCCGCTTTAGGCTGCCAATGATGTGTCGAGAGAGAAGTTAAGAAACGAGGCTCGATTATTACGGCTCTCCTATTTAGGGCTGTGTTGCTCATACAGTCTTTAAAGCACCGCTAAAAATACAAATCCGACAAACTGAAACAACACAGTATGGAAAGGAAATAGAGCAAATGTGAAAGGAGGCGCATTGATGACGGCGCAGAGATACAACTCTTCGTACGTGATGGATGTCCGTGTTGCATCTGCAGAATTGAAGGCGCGCTGGCGCTATGCGTGAACTCGCAATGCTCCTTTCTATGCTGCCAGTGAGGTGTCGCTCCGATTCGAGAGAAAAATATAAAATGCCCGATTTTGTCTCGACTCTGTTGTTCCTCAATTTCGTCTTCTTTTTCCAATTTGAGGTTTGATTCTTTTTTTAATGCAAATATTTATACAGACCTACATCTACGGCTCGTATGCTCAATGTCGAGGTCCCTCACAACTCGCGTGGCAAGTTTTTTAAACAAGCCTCCCGTCAATTTGACCGGGCTTCAGCATCTGAGGGTTTATGGAAATATCATTATAATATGACAGCACTTTGTTCGCCAAAAACTCTGGATTCAAGAGGGGAGCCAAAAGAAGCCGTGCACACTCAGTCAGTGATTTTTAATAAAATTAAATTATGATTTTCCCATCATTGATCCACCCCCCCCCCCAANAAAAAAAAAAAAAAAAACAATATAGGAATAATAATTGAAAATCACTTTCCCATTATATAGATATGCTAGAGAGGACATTCTGCTTGACTAAATCTTAATAATTTACTTATCATAATAATATTAATAATAATAAAACAGATCACATTACATCTGGTTGCGCATTGCTTGCAGGGAAGGAATATACCGAGCGGCATAACAACATGGCTAAAATTATACATCTAGCGCTGGCCAACGATCGAGAACTATGTNAAAAAAAAAAAAAAAAAAAAAAAAAAAAAAAAAAAAAAAAAATAAAACACATTCTAAACAAAATTTTTATGCGTTCCATTAATACACGTTCTATATTCTGTTACAATAAATAGTGTGCGCATAAGACTTTTTTATTAATGGCACCAGTCAGATCGCGCACCGCTTGCCCAAGACGCGTCAATTTAAAGTTGGCGCCTCTTGAGTTCCCATTAGTGCGTCATCAACATGGCGCCGAAATGGGCTATTTTTTGTGCCACGATCAGCTGATAACCCTCCAACCAACTTCTTATCAAAACAATTAACGGTTCTCCCCGTAAAGTTTTCCTTGACGGTGAGTCGGTGACGGTTCTCTTCTTCTCTTTTCTTATCAGTGAGCATTAAAATTTACGAGCAACACTAGTCAAAATTAGAGCCCTAGAAATCGGCGCTTCATGTTGCGTGTATCACCAGAGACATTTGCTCGATATTTTCATTTCCCTGCTCTTGTTATCACTTATCAGCGAATCTTAGCGTTTCTCGTCGGTTCATTTCGCTCGCTCCAGTAAGTTTCTGTTCTCAGTTTTTAGTTACCTAGAAGGATTTCAGTTTTAGTAATCTTTAGAGTTCAACTCTGATCCTCTTGCTGTGGTTGATATCGAGTTTCCACTAATCTTAACATGACTCTGTCTCGTAAAATATTCATGTGTGGTTTAAACGTTAATTCGCAGTTTTGGCTGTCTGGAGCTCATTGTCTATCCGTGAGTATACCCTTGTATTTCTAGGACTATTAAACTCTTCTGCCCTTCCTTTCTTGATTACATTGAGTTTCAGGGTCTACATAGTAGAAGTACTGGTCATTGCGTTTTCAATCCAGCAGCCTGATCGTTGGAATTTATGTCGTCACGACAAGAATTGAAAATCGATTCATTACGCGGCGCAAAGAGGGCTATATCTTGTCTAATCTTGCCAATATAGCCAGTTAAAGTATCAACAAACAGGCTGCAGGAGACAGTTATTCTGTCTAGGAAAGGCTGTGCTCTGTTTTGTAACATGATTACTTACCTCATTCAATTGGACCGCAGTGAGAGTCATAACATTACATCTCTCCTCATGTACTCAAGTGCACATACTCATTGGCCTCGGCCCAATATATCTTACGTCAGCTGCTAACTGTATTCAGCGAGGCGCAGCGAATTGCCTCACATCCGTTTTTAAAAAGATTTACTCACGCTGATGGAGGTCCCTATATTTTGGTAATATTGTACCTCCAACTGTCGCATGGATACATCCAATCATATTATTAAGGCTAGGAGACTGCTGAGAGATACGAAATTAATACATAATATTTTGTCTCCTGAACTACCAAAGTCGCAGTGTGAGTAGTATTCGCCTACGTAATTTACGAATTTTTGAAGTTGAGTCGGTAGCACTTACTGTGTTTTGATTCGTTGGCTTGGGTAGATTTATTCTAAATCTTTAGTTGGTTCAATCGTTCAAAGCAAGTTTAATGAATACCTTTGATTTTA